ACCACGGTGGGAGCTTTTGGTGGAAGACGGTGGACGTGGTTGAATTCCTTTATGAATCCTTTAGCGTACTTACTCATTATTACGGATGTTTTAGAGGCTGTGTCTAACCATCAAGCCACCGAGGGTCTCCTGTGTAGGAAGGGCCATCCCATTCTGGATTCTAGCGTATGTGGCTTTCACTGTCTGATGGGTTTTTACAACCGCTTTGACTTTGGGACACCCGAGTGGCTCAGTTGATGAAGCATCTGCCTTCGGCTCACGTCATGATCTCAGAATCTGGGATTGGGCCCCACATTGGGCTCCCTGCTCTATGGGAGTCTGCTTCTCCCCCCCTCCCTGCTGGTTCCCTCTCTCTCTCTCTCTCTCTCTCTCTCTCTCTGTCTCTCTGTCAAATAAATAAAACCCTTTAAAAAAAAAAAAAAGAACGACACCACTGCAACTTTAATGGAGAGCCTCATACGGTCTAGCTGGTGGGGAAGACCATCTGGCAGTTCGCCACTAAGTGAAACACAGAATCCCCAAGTGACAGAGCCATCGCACTCCTAGGAACACACCCCAAAGATCTGTAAACGGCCGTCCAAACAAAACCCTGTACGTGAATGTTCATGGCAACACTAGTCAGAAAAGTACGCCCAAAGTAGAAGCAACACAGACGTCCCTCAGCAGATGAACAGCTGAGCCAGACGTGATGCCACCCTACAAAGGAACAGTATCCCGCCGTGTGAAGGAGCAGAGTGCTAATGCGGAAACCTTGAAAACTTTGTGCTCAATGAGAGAAGCCAGACGACCCGTGACCCCGAGGTCATGACCTGAGCAGAAATGAAGAGTCGGATGCTTAACTGCTTGAGCCACCCAGCTGCCCCGACTTCTGCATTTTAACCAGCTCTACAAGTGGATTGCCTTTTTCATATTTTTCACTTATTTTTTTTTCTGTAAGCATTTTCAGCTGTCTCCATGCTCCTTGAGTGGACAGAGATGGGCTGCCAACATTTGCACCCTGGGGTGTCCCCTTTTGGCGTATTTAGGATCTGATGGCAAAAAGACACAGAAGAGATTCGTGGTGATGCGTACTGAGGCCTGAGGGTCTACTCTGGGAAACCAGGTTCACACTCAGAGCCCAAGAGTCAGCAGCTGGTGGAACAGGTGTGAACAAGGAGCTCTTGGGGCACTGGAGTAGAAGGGTGTGTGAGCTGGTCCCCAAAGCCACGTGCTGTCTGCAGGATCCACGACACGGGACGGCTGGCCCTCGCTTCACGTACTGCTAACATTTATGTGTGCGCTGTGCTCACAAACGATGCTCCCCGGACTTTATCCCATGTATGAGTCAGCCACCTTGAGACGCGGAGGAGGTTTTGGAGAAGGCAAAGCGGCACGCCATGAGCACTGGGAGCTTGTGTCTTCTTCTGTGGTTCAGGTGGTCATGCCCGGCCCCGATCCCTAATAGCTACGATCACGTTTTTGTTTGTGATCTTGAGTCATGGCTCATGCCGAACATTAGAAATGACAGAGGTTGGAAAAGCAAAGTGGGAGGGAGGAGTCGGAGGCTTCCTGGCCAGGGGATCCAGGAGCACGCCAGTGTCCCCAGTCTGTGTGGGTCCAGGCTCTCTCTCTCCCTGTAGGGTCTCTGAGAAAGCTCCATGGAGGGGATCCCTGGGTGGCGCAGCAGTTTGGCGCCTGCCTTTGGCCCAGGGCGCGATCCTGGAGACCCGGGATCGAATCCCACGTCGGGCTCCCGGTGCATGGAGCCTGCTTCTCCCTCTGCCTGTGTCTCTGCCTCTTTCTCTCTGTGTGTGTGACTATCATAAATAAATAAAAATTAAAAAAAAAAAAACTCCATGGACAGCAATGACCTTCTTGGCCAGAGTTACATTTTATCATCTGCTTGAGCGCCGAACCCCAGACCATGCCAGCAGGTTAGACTGGGATGTGCCCAGAGCTTCTGTCCTGGGTCAGCAAGTCCGACAACCAACATCCCCTCATCCCATGGGGGCAAGGGCGCATGGCTCTCTGGAGCCTCCTTGATAAGGATGCAATTCGCCTCCTCTCCCCAAAGCCTTGCCTCCTGATAACATCACCTAGGATGTTGTGTGTGTGTGTGTGTGTGTGTGAGTGTGTGTGTGTGTCTGAGGATTTCAACATCTGATTTCTTTGCGGTGCAAGAAGGGGACGCATCATTGAGACCAAGACCGTTTCAGTTAATGTTTTTATTACAAAATCCTGCTGTGATTCACCATCGCCAATAAACGGGTCCCCTAAATGTGGCCCCCCTCACCTGCTACCGTAGTCTGTCCTCACGACATTTCTGTTCACTGCTCTCTGGTACCAAGAACTCTCCAGCTGTGGTGACCCCTACAAGCCAGGGACGAAGTTGTAGGATGTTCATCTTGCCCGCAGTTTTGAGGACCCCTTTGGTTCCTAAAATTCAGTACATTTTACGTAAATGAGCAGGTGAGCCGTGATCATGAGTGGATGATAGCAGAGCATTTAGGTGTGGAGCTCACAGAGAAGTATCAGAAGGCCGAGCAGCAGATTTCTGCGTCCCCTACAGTTGCCTTACCCTGAGCATCATTGACATCACTGCCCTGGCCGAGGCGCAAGGTTTCCACATCATGGACCTCCGGCATCTCGCTGGAGCAGTTACAAGTGAAATGGCAAGGGGAGTATCCCATTTGTAAAGTCACCCAGAGGTCTTCCAGGTGGAAACGCACTAGCCTGGCGGTGGCGTGCGCCGTCGTGACAAGCGTCATCACGCTTCATTGCAGGCGGCTTGGTGTATGGTAGGCACGTCTTAATTACAGAGCTCCGAGGCCCCTGAAGAACAGCTGTTCTTAGACTACTCTTCCGAAGTGTAGGAAATTCCGTGCTAACAGCGGCGTTCCTCGTGGGTTATTTGCCTTTGTGAATGCTACATGTTCTTGATGGCGCAGCTCCGTCTCACAACGCACTTTGTTCTTTAATTTGGAGAGGAACGCAGTTCACCATTAAGATAACCTCTTATCTTAAGGGCAATCCACTCATTACAAAAACACACTTTTCACGAAATGACACTATATCAAAGCTCCGTGGCATTAAATGTTTTCTGGGGACCGTGATACCGTAAGTAAAATATTTGCTTATGATAATTACGAGTTACCACGCGCAGTGTGGGCGGGCGCATAATTCTCTTTTGCCTTAAAAGCCAGACATCAGATGTAAACATCCAGATACAAAAGATTCAGCCATCGAGAGTGAAAATAATGAGTCAGGAGCAATGAAAATTTCTCTTGTAGCGCTTGAGGTAACATTGGAATGGAGACTTTTATAAGACATTGATACTGTAGACATTTCAATGTACTAATGTAATGTGATATGTAGGATCTATCACCAGAGACAAGTATATATTTTTTCACGCTTTTTTGTCCTTGTGTGAGTGTGTGTATAGTGTATATTTATACACAGACCATGTACGTATATACACATATGTATATAGAGGATACAGCACATGTGCTGTGCACATACACGTATATGATATGCCAAAAAATGCGTTTAGGAATCTAACCCCAAAGTTATTTAAGAATTTAATGAGAAACCGTATGATGAATAAAAATGTCCATTTGGGTTCTACATTAATGAAATGTCCTATATGCGGGGGTCCAAATAGCAACATACGTGTTGATAGCTTGCACATGATACAGTCGTTTCCAAATGCGTAGATGTTCACAGATTTGTATCCTGCAAATAGCTGTGAAGGTGAATTCCACGACCAGGGTCAGGAATCCACGAGTGCAATTAATGCTGGTTAACTTTTCTCTAGATTTTGTGTTTTTTAAAAAAAAAAAATCACATAATTAAAAAAAAAAAAAAGAATAAAAATTGCACAATCAGGGGCACCTGGCTGGCTCAGTGGGTGACGCATTTGCTTTCAGCTCAGGTCATGATTCCAGGGTCCTGGGATGGAGCCCCTGCGTCTGGCTCCCTGCTCACTGGGGAGTCTGCTTCTCTTTCTCCCTCTGAGCTCTCTCTTACTCTTCTTCTTTCTCTCTCAAGTAAATAAATCAAATCTTAAAAAAAAAAAGCATAATAACTCAAAATATTAAAACAGCCCAGCCATGTATAAAGTAGAACAGAATTCTCCTTCCATCTACAACTGGCCCCTGGGTGGCACCTCATGGCCGGGCCCTTCTCATCACGTTTCTCTTTGAATGGATTTGGGGTCCAGCAGTACTGGTGTGTTGACCCTGTTCAACTATCAATCTCTTGCCACATCCTTTGAGCTGGTAATGTCACCTGTCAGGCCGACTGTCCCCATCTGTAAAATGGGAGTCATCGCAGAGCCTGCCACACTGGTGGGCGGTTGGAAGTGGATGGTGGTCTCTATAACACGGGTACCTGGAGGCTAAGGATCTGATACAAAGCAAAGCGTGTGCGTTGTTCCTGTTGCTTTGGCCATTCGCTCCTGCCGAGGCCACCGTGTCTCATTCTGAAACCTTGTGGTCTTGGCGTTGCTTTTCCCGCTGGGGTTGAGTTTGTGCTTGTAGTCCTCTGAACTCCAGGGGAGGGGCGCCCCGTCACTGGCTGGCCTTGTTGGGTCTGGAGCAGACTATAGGACCACTGCTACCTTTGCCTGAGAAATTCCCCACCTCCTAGATGGGGCTTGGGGAGTAAGAGGTCTAATATGACAGAGTGAGTCCCGTCAGTGCCATAGAGCATCTACCTGCCTCTTAGCATTTCCCAATGTCAGGTGTTAGCCAGGGAACCTAACACAGGGTGAGGCAGCCAGGCATTTACCTGAGCAACGGGGGCAATGCCTTTCAGCAGCTCAAATGTGCTGGAATGTTGAAAGCTCCTCAGACTCTGGTTTGCTTTTTTTTTTTTTTTTTTTTTACAGTTTTCATGGGATAGTTTGCTTTGTGCCGATGCTTTCAGAGGCTACCCCTGTCTAATCAACTCAAAAGAAAACACAGAGTCAGTCCCAGGGAGTCTTAGTCTCCTCCGTATTTACGGGAACATAAATCTTACAGGAGCTTGGTCGTGGTAGGAGCCCGTGTGTTGTACAGCTGTAGACAGACATGTGCAAGCATCCAGCCGCTCAGTCGCGTGTTGGCAGGTAAGGGATGTCAGCGGCAATTTGGGAAGCGTCATGCTTTGACTCATCGCGTGCTACCCTCCTATTCGGCTCCCGGAGCGTAGGCCGTACCGGCAAAGGAGACACGGGAGTGCATGAGCACCACGGGGGTCTTCCAACTTTCCAAACTGAATGTTTCCCCAAACTTTCTAAAGATTTCAATTGTAAAGAAAGGGGCTCAGTAAGACTTAATTTTTCAAATTGCTTTCTTGATTAATACTATTAAATTAATGTGATTAACTTAATGGTGCTCTGCATACTTGAGTGTATTGAGAAATGCAAAGACCCGAGCACCGTCTACGGTGGCATAGAAAATAAAGAATAGGGATTCGCTAAATAAGTAAAACATGAATATTTATTTTAGAAAAATTGCAAGTAGGGATCCCTGGGTGGCGCAGCGGTTTAGCGCCTGCCTTTGGCCCAGGGCGAGATCCTGGAGACCCAGGATCGAATCCCACGTCGGGCTCCCGGTGCATGGAGCCTGCTTCTCCCTCTGCCTATGTCTCTGCCTCTCTCTCTCATTCTGTGTGACTATCATAAATAAATAAAAAAATAAATAAATAAAAAGAAAAATTGCAAACAATTTATTTTATTTTATTTATTTTTTTTAATTTTTTTATTTAATTATGATAGAGAGAGAGAGAGAGAGGCAGAGGGAGAAGCAGGCTCCATGCATCGGGAGCCCGACGTGGGACTCGATCCCGGGTCTCCAGGATCGTGCCCTGGGCCAAAGGCAGGCGCTAAACCACTGCGCCACCCAGGGATCCCAATTTATTTATTTTTTTTATTAACGTATGCTTGGCACACAATGTCACGCTAGAAAAATCACAAACAATATAAACAGGTATTTAAATCTATAGAAACGCCTGTTTTGAACAGATATTCAGATAGGTTTTTGCGGTCTTCATGTCAGACAATTTCTATGGTTTAAGAACAGGACATCTATTTAGGTGACACTTTGTTAACCAAATTTATGGGTCAAGAAATGTCTTATATATAGTTTGAATAAGACCACATGTCTTCTAAAAATTTATGGCTAGTAATGTAGGATTTTCTCTACTTTCAATGTGCCTTTTCCCCCATTGAGCAAATAGATTAGGAACGTTTTTGTTGCCATGGTAAAGTTTCTGTTATGTAAGCGCAGTGTTAATTTTTCTTTAATGAGCTAATTTAATGTAATTACACCTCCAATTACGAAAATGTTCTTTTGTCTCTCTCCTTCGTAATTGTGTTTTAGGAAGAGCTACTTCCTCATGAAAGTGTTCTCTTGCTTTTTTGCCAAATTAAGATTGTTCAGAAAAATAATTTAATTTTTAAGGGGGGAAATTATACAGTTTTTCAGAAGTTAATGTGCCATGCTCATATGTTAGAGTAGAGCGCTTTCATTTATTTGTTAAGTACTTTTATCAACTAACTGTGTTTTAATAGTTTAAAACATCTTTATAAACGCCCCTGCGTGTGGAGGAAAAACAAGGTCTGGTTATTTCAGACAATAATAATTTATATGCAGTGAAATTTTAAATGGCTATTAGCAAACTGACATTTTCTAACATTTTTAACTTTCTCACGTGATGCCTAACGATAGGTACCACGGGGGCACATTTTGGAGGTACCATTAATGACATAATGTCACATTGAGCCAACCAAACCCATTCTGAGATTCAGAAATTCATACTCTGTAGATATTAATAATTATTAAAGGGCTTTGATCCTATTGGGTTTAATTTTAATTAAAAAAAAAAAAAGGTCTGCACCTGAACTAAACCTCTCAGCAAAATGCACGGAAAATAGGTATGGATTTTTCCAATGGAGGACACATGTACAACACATGTACAAAGGATCCTTATGGCGGCCACATCCCGGCATGCAGCAGATATAATCTAGGCCCCGGACATTTTGCGTCTTCATTGTTCTCTGCAAAGTTCAATGGAGAGCAAGGTTGAAATCTCATTGACCACTCTCACTCTGTCTGAGTCGTCACGTCCAGTTAATTACCTGGTTGTATTAATTGCATCTCAGATCAATCCTGTTCTGTCCCGCCTGCCCCCACCTAGTGTGGGTACCAGCATCTCTGTGGCGTCACAGCCACTGTGCGCACATTCCCTCCGGCCTCTGCCACATGCATCCGCCATGGAGCTGCGGAACGATGGAGGATGCACATCACCCCCGGATTAAATTCTTCACTGCCTGCCCGTCCTGTCCCCTGTGGGCTGGCTTGTGCTTCCCACCTCTGAGCCCTTTTCTCCAACTCGTAGTGAGAGTGTTGCATGGAAAAACAAAGAAAACACAGAAACAGTGGCACTCGCACATAGGAATGCTGTGCCTTCAGCCATTTGCGAAAGAAGCACAGGAAAAAGGACAAAGAGGGAAAGCTACCACCTGAGTGCTTCTCTGCATTGTGGCTTTATATATTTTCCTTCTGTACATTGAGAATAAAAGTGAACAGACAATGAGACAAAGTTCATTTGAAAAAAAAAACAACAACAAATTATGGGTTTTGTGTATGTTAAAAGCAGGGTAGGTAAAGTAATTCTCAGAATAGCTAGATTTGGGGTGAAACTTTACTAAGAGTCACATGGAGCCTAGATTTTGCTTCATTTAATCTCTAAGTGAACCGTATCCCTCTGGCCTACCATAAGTACATTTTCCATTCCTGGTGTTTTCAATTTTCGGTCGTAAAACAAAAATTCATTTTTCGCATCGTTTGCTGAGCTGAGCAATGTGTCTTTAAACGGCTTACATAAATTCTGACACCTCACTGCTAATGAAGCATGTTCTTAAAATAAGTTGAGCATGACCTCTGAGCCCTTGCCATGGAAAGTCTCTGCAGGCCCTTATTAATGCAACTGAACTAACTATCGGAAGCTCTTGGACTTTGTTTTAGTTTTTTGCTTCTGTGTAACAGGCGAGTGCAAAACTTAGCAGCTCAAAGCAACATGCATCTGTTATCTCAGAGTGTCGGTGGGTCAGGAATCTGGCACAATGTAGCTGGTGCGTTGCAATCAAGGTGCCGGCCAGGGCGGTGGTCTCATCTGAAGGCTCCACTCCCAAGCTGACTCAGCTGGCGGTGGGCAGGATTCTGTTTCTTGTAGGCCGTCAGCATGAGGGGCTCGTGTCCTTGCTGCCTGTTGCCTGCAAGTCTCGCTCAGTTCCCCGTCACAGGGGGAGACGGGTTCTCTCTGGCATAGAATCTCACTTCATTAAAATCCAGCAGGAGGACGAGTCTGCTGACCAGACTTTTTGTGTTTGCAGCCTAACCACAGACGTCACCTGCCACACGTTTTCCACATTCTGTTCATGAGAACCAGGTTGTGAGGCTCAGCTGCGCCCAAGGGGAGGGGATGATACAAGATGGGAATACCAAAGGGGTGTCCCTGGGGCCAGCATGTAGTCGGCTGCCACATTTTGCTTGAAACTCTGTTGCTGTCCTTATTAAGGTCTACACAAAGTCATGATGACACCACCAACAACTGCTGGCCCCTAGTGATGAGTCCCTTATGCATTCACAGTGCTAAATGTATAATTTATCTCCTCCATGATACCTACAGTGTATTGTTAGTATGATTGTCCCCATTTTACAAGAGAAAGTGCCAAGCCAACAGGGAGGCTGAATTCACAGTCCCGGGTTTCTCCACCTCACCTCACGACACCTGCAGAAGCCACGTTTGCCCTCCAGTGCTTGCTGGAGTGGGCGCCGTGCTTGTGGATTCCCACGTTTGGCCAGCCGGGGGCATGCGGGGGCGTGCTGTGGCTCGTTCAACCGTGAAACCATCCCCAGGCTCATCACAATGTCTATGATCCGGGTTTTGCGCGGATAAGTGTGTAGAATTGGCATGGATTTGCGGGAACCGCCAGTGAATTGCTTGTGGTTGTAAAGGTGTAGGTAGATGGACTAAAGTCCTCCTAACAAGGGTTGTGTGTCTAGCTCTTTATCATTTCAGAGGCTTTTGCCTTTTCGTTCCCTTGAGGGGAGGCAGGGCAATGTTTCTCCCCATCTACCCCCCAGCTTCATTGAGGTATAACTGACAAATACAATCGTCTGTATCTAAGGTGGCCGCGTGATGATTTCATGGTATATGTTGTGCAGTGACTGTCACAGTGCAGCTCATTAGTGTCATCAACTCACATATCATTGCCCATTTTTTGGTGAATGGAGACAGTGCTCAGGATCTAGCGGTGAAGCCTGGAGCACGAGTTCCGTACAGTGTCGTTAGCTGCCGTGACTGTGCCATCCCGCGGGTCCCCAGGACGTGTTCGTCATCTAACTGGAAGCCTGTATCCTGGGACCAACATCTCCCTGATCCCGGCTCAAGCCAGTGTTCGTTCCAGCTGCGAGTTCAGCTTCCTGTGTTTTGCTGCAGGTTCCCTGTGAGCGAGCTGGCGCCGCATCCGGCCTCGGCCAGGGGCCTGGTGTCCTCCCGGCTCCCCCCTGGGGCGGTGACTGGTGGCTGCTCATCTCGCCCACTGTGTAGCCAAGGCCCGAGGCGGAGACGGGGTCCTGGGCCACAGTGCAGGCACGGCAGGCACAGCGGCTCGTGCCTCGCGCCCCAGACCCCGTGGCTGGCACCGAGCCATGACTGCACACACGTGCCCTGGTCCCCGCAGGCAGGGGGAAGCAGCCACCACGAGGGCAGGCAGGGCATGTTAGGGGTGAGCGAGCCACTGGCCCGGCCTGGTCGTCCTGGGGGGAGGGGGGGCAGCGCTGGCTGTCGGGCGGGAGGATGCCGTAGGGGAGAGCACAGGTGGGCGAGCACAGGGAGGCGTGGGTCACCTAGGTCATGGGCGCACGGGGCGGGCCAGGGGAGTGGGGGTGCGGGTGCTGCCAGGGAGCAGAGAGGGGGGTGCCCTGCACATGCACACACATGCACATGCAACCACTCCAGTGGCAGGAAGCAGCTGAAGCCGGGCCAGGACGCCACTCGGGGCCTGCCGTCTGCAGCACCTGCCGAGTGGCACCCACGGGTGCGGGGCTACAAAGGCCCCTGTAAGTGGCGGCGCTGCCCTGTCACCCTTCACACTGTGCCTGCGGGTGCGGGGCAGAAGTCGTGCAGCTGGCACGACTCCTGGGCCTCCCGCGGGCGCTGGCCGTGCACAGAGCCTAGGGGCGAGGGCGGGTGCGGCCCACAGAGGTGGCGCCCTCGGTGACCTGCGCCCTGGCTCTCGGCCCGCAGCCTGTGGCGGCGCCTCCCGCTCTGATAGGTCATTGCCATCCTTGGAGAAAGACACGCTTGTTTGAGAGACAAGAGGGTAAAGTTCTCAGCCGGGCGATGTGTCTGCGTGGATGCGGAGCTCGCGTTGCCGGGGCACACGGGGTGGAAGAAGGTCCCAGCAAAGGGACTGCTGCAGCGCCCCGGGTGCCCCTCACTGCCCTCTGTGTGCTTCCCTCTGCAGGAAGATGCGGCTCCGTCTGCTGCTCCTGTTGTTGCTGTGCGAGGCCCAGGGCCACGCGGCCCCCAGGCCCAACTTTGTCCTGCTGATGGCCGACGACCTTGGCATCGGAGACCCCGGGTGCTACGGGAACACGACGCTCAGGTGCGGTGACGCGGTTGTTGTGTGAACACCGGGGCTCCCTTCGCAGGCCCCAGCCACGGGTGACGTGAACGCACAGAATGCTGACGGGTGTCAGAGCCCTTCACAGCGCTCGTGTCCACCTGGGTCTTTACGTGGATACAGACCGACTGGCGTCAGGAAGGCGGGTGGGATTCGGTCTCATTGAACAGGGCAAACCCAGAGGGACCACTAGAAAGATCCTCAGGGTGACCCTTTCCTACCGAGCTGACTGTGCTGCGTCTCCCACATCCTCACTTGGCTCTGCCCGTGGCCGCAGCTCTCCTGTGTTTGGTACCGGCTGCATTGCAGTGGGCCCCGCTACTCGAGCCGCCGTCAGCTTGGGTGACCACAGAACCTCTCGGGCCACGGGCGCTGGTGATGGCAGAAGCACGGTGGGAACCAGACTTAGGAACGGAGGAGGACCTTCTGTTTCTCAGCCCCCCTGCCTAACCCCGGGTTCACGTCAGACGTCTCCTAAGGGCCCCGTGATTGAAGAAGGAGAGTAGGTCCTTGTGTAACAGCATATTGGCATCAACGCTGCATTTTCTCTTAATAATCATGAGGAGACGATGACATATAGTGCTTCTCAGCTTCCTCTTAGCAACGATCGGTACAAACTGAATCACATGAGGTGGGGAAAGAGATCACTGGCTTTTAGTAGCAGTTTCTCATAAGATCTATGAATAGTAATAATTACATGAAGCGGGGGGAGGGATGGACACACCTTAAGGGCTGAGGGATGCTGATTGGCTTTCATGCTGTCACTCTGGCTCCTCGTCTCCTTTTCAACACGACAGTGCACCTTGGAGGAGTGTTTCGTTGCTTTGTGTCAGAGCAAACAAAAATTAGGAATTAAGTGGTTCTTTTGGGGAGAACCCGGCATCCAGATGTGTGTCAGTTCCACCTCTGAACCTTTGCATCACGTGCTGCTTGTCATTTGTGAAGTGTGTGCTTACCTACGACATGTGTTAGAGCTTAAACACATGGACACAGATGAGATTTCAGTTGACCACGTGTGTTTTCTGCCCCACGTTTGGCCTCATTTTGTATAACATGTAGATGTTACTTATGGATACTTGTCATACCTCTATTGCTGGTAATTTAGTTTTTCTTATCAGAGTCATAATGTCTGCTCATTTCTTAAATTTAGCTCATGTTTTTTTTTTTACTTTATTTTTAGATTACTGTTATTTATTGTCATTTAAAGTCAACTGAGTAACTTACCGTGTATTATTAGCTTCAGAGATAGAGTTTAGTGATAGATCAGTCGCACATAATACCCCGTGCTCGTCACATCACATGCCCTCCCTAATGCCCATCACCCACTTACCCCATCCCCCCACCCACCTCCCCTCTAGCAGCCTTATTGGTTTCCTAGAGTTAAGAGTCTCTTAAGGTTTGTCTCCTCGCTTTCATCTTATTTTATTTTCCTTCCCTTCCTTTATGTTCATCTATTTTGTCTCTTAAATCCCGTAAGGGACTATTAATCAGCCATCAAAAAGAGCGGAATCTTGCCATCTGCAATGACGTGGATGGAACTAGATGGATGGCATTACGCTACGTGAAATAAGTCAGAAAAAGACAAACATCATATGATTTTTAATATTATATGTATTCCTGAACTTCACCGAGCTAACAGATAACCTTACCCAGTCAGGGGTTTTAATCAAAGAATTACAATCAAGCCTTAAGGTTCTATGTCTAACAGATCTCAAAAGGAAAGAAAAAGTGTCTACAATCACAATATAGAAGCTATGTCACAGCGTATCCTACATCTGTCGTTTTCCATATTGGATTCCAGTTCTTTATGAATTACATATTTTCACATTATATTTTATTTTTTTAAGATTTTATTTACTTATTCATGAGACAGAGAGAGAGAGAGAGAGAATGGCAGGGACACAGGCAGAGGGAGAAGCAGGCTCCATGCAGGGAGCCTGACGTGGGACTCAATACCAGGACTCCAGGATCACGCCCTGGGCCAAAGGCAGCGCCAAATGCTGAGCCACCTGGGTTGCCCAACACATTATATTTTATAAGCTCATCTCCCCAAATAGATGTCTCAGTGCACAGTCTAGGTATGAGGAAGTTTAAGTCAGATATGCAGATTCAGTCTTCTAAACCTTCTAAACCTTGCAATGGGAGGCAGAAGCACAGTGGAAAGGTGGGCTGTAACGTGCATACGCTGAATTCATGGATGGGGGAGCAGGTTGAGCAATGCGATGAAATGACCTTCACCTTCAAGCTCTGCATCACCAAGGGCTCTCTGTGTGGGCACAAGAGCATGAGACTGTGGGCCACGAGAATAAGATGCATGCTCCTGTCTCTGTACATCCATGTAAGAGGGCAGTTGGCCGTGTTGTCCCTTTGTAGTGAGGAAGCTTCTGTGATAGGATCTGTGTCCTACACACGGGCCAGGCCCCCTCACAGGACAAGGATGGCCCTAGGAGGCTCACGAGAATCCTGTCTCTGCCAGGACCTGAAGAATAGAAGGTAGCCAGGCTGGTAGAGAGGCAGGGGCTGCATTCCCAGTGGAGGATGTGGAATGAAAGCTCAGCATGGCCCAGAACTGAACAAGGTTCGTTTCTGAATGCCTAGCAAGTGTGGAATGACTCCTTGACAGGATTGGCCAGTCCATTCCCAGAGCAACCGGGATGGCTTGTCCTGCATCACCCACACTTCTGGAACTTTCCCTAGATTGCTGAGAAGTGATGCACTGTAAAAAGCCACAGTGGAAGCTGCATGTTTCAAGGTCATCGTGAATGACATGAGTCTTCCATTCTAGAACTCCTAATATTGACCGGTTGGCTGCAGAAGGAGTGAAGCTCACACAGCACCTGGCAGCGTCGCCCCTGTGCACACCAAGTAGGGCAGCCTTCATGACAGGCCGGTACCCCATCCGATCAGGTAACCCCCAGGCTCCATAGCCATGGCTCTTGTCCTCCTAGGGGCATCCCTGACCTCCTCTTTCAATGGTTCATTTCTCCTGTTTCAGGAATGGCCTCTCAGTCCTTCATAGGAGTGTTTATCTTCTCGGCCTCTTCTGGAGGACTTCCAACCAGTGAGATTACCTTTGCCAAGCTTCTCAAGAATCAAGGCTATTCAACAGCTCTGATAGGTAAGGGCAGCTGAGGAGTGGGAGTCGAGGACCTGGGCAGGGTGAGTGGGAGAGGGCATGATAACTGGCTTTTTAAGGATGGCATCACTGTTACAGTTTGCACAATTTCACATAATGAAGAAATAATTTCAATTGTAAATTAAAACACAATGCACCTATCTGGGCTATTTGAGTGTGTGTGTGTGTGTGTGTCTGGACAGGTACATAGATGAGATTGATAGATGATAATGAAAGATGGATGGACTGATGGATGTATGAATAAATGGAAAGGTAGATAACATAGCTGATGGAGCCAGGTATGGATAGGTAAATAGATGAAATGGGTGATGGATGGATGATGGATGGATGGATGGATGGATGGATGGATGGATTGTTAATGGTGGGATGCACAGATGGTAGATGGATGGATGGATAACAGATGGATAATGGGTGGATAGATGGATGATTGGATGGACAGGTAGATGGTGAATAGATAATGGGTGGGAGGGTGGATGACAGTTGGATGAATAGATGGTGGATGGATGGATAGTAGGTAGATGGATGGATGGATAATGGGTGGATGGATGGATGAATGGATCATGGTTACGTGCATGAGGAATGGATGAATAATGAGTGGTTGACTGGATGAATAATGAGTGGATGGATGATGGGTGGATGATGGATGCATGGATGATGGCTGCATGGATGGATGATGGGTAGATGGATGGATGGATGGTGGATGGATGAATGGATGATGGGTAGTTGGATGAATGGATAATGGATGAATGGATAGATGAGATAAATGAGACACATGATAGCTAATAGACTGATAAATAGATAATTATGCACAGCCATACAGGGTACAAAACTACATATACACATTATGCTATTGAACATTTTATCTTTTATTATTAATAGTGAAGTTGTGTCAGAGTTTGTCTCAGTTGACATTCCCATTGATTTTTGTTCAATTGATAGGAATAATCCATTCTCCATTTTTACTTGGTAAGCATAGGTCTATGCAGGTCATCAGATGAATCATAAAATCTCTCACAGAAGCAAAATGACCATTCTCTTTCCTCCCACCTCTTGTCATAAAACCATCATCATGTTTTTCTTTTGTGAGCACTCACTAATTTAGTGGTATAATGTACATTTTATAAGAAATGTTCATAGATGTTTAAAATAATTGCTGAGCCATAAGTGTGATTTCCTCATGCTTGCTTCAGGGGTAGTTTTTCGAGAAAGGATCCATTTTCACTTTAATAGTTAAGGGACAAAAACCAAGTTGGTCCTACGACTTAAGGAAATGTCCTTAAAAAATTCTTGTCTTTTTCTGTGTATTGTTGTCACCTACCTATTAAATATGTCAGGTGGTTGTCTTTTGTTTTGTTTTATTTTGCTGTTTTCGGTGCTCAAGCAGTTGTTGTTTTCTGGTAGAGTGAGTAGTTAATGCCTTGTTGTTTGTGGAAAAGGCAGCGAGACACTGTGGGGTTCTCCAGAGTAGGAGGAGTTTGGCTAACAAATGTGCAGAGCGATCCCACTTTTCAGTGTGTAGGAATCAGAGGCTGACATCCAGGTCGCAGTGTTCATTGCGTATCAATGTATCACCCGTCTGTCTTCTCAGGCAAGTGGCACCTTGGGACCAACTGTCACAATAAGACAGACTTTTGCCACCACCCCTTGAGCCATGGCTTTGACTATTTCCACGGGATCCCCGTGACCAACCTGAGGGATTGCAAGCCCGGAGAAGGCAGCGTCTTCACCAGGGGCATCAGGGTGCTGGTCTTCATCCCCCTTCAGATCATTGCCATCTCGCTCCTCACCCTGGTGGTGCTCAAGTGCCTGGGGCTGCTCCACGTGCCCCCTGTGGTCTTCTTCTGCCTTCTGTGTCTCGCCGCCATGATCCTCGGCCTTCTGCTGTGCTTCCTGCATTACTTCCGACCCCTGAACTGCTTCCTGATGCGGAACCATGAGATCACTCAGCAGCCCCTGTCCTATGACAGCCTCACACAGAGGCTGACGGCGGACGCGGCCCAGTTCATACGACGGTGGGTATCGCCTCTTATCCTGATGCTGCCTGTTGCAGCGTGTGCTTGGTTATTGCCATGGAGGTTGGAGAAACAAGGTGGTCCTTCTAGCCATGTTTCCCCTTCCCTACTGAGGAGGTTCCTCCAGCCAGGCTCTCAGGAGGAGGAGGGGGGTGGACAGTGGAATGACACGTGAAGGGAGGTGCAACCCAGTGGGCTCTCGTCAGGTGGCTCTGCCAGTGTCCCTCACGTCCTCTGCTTCTGAAGTCATGCCAAAAAATGTCTCCCAGGTGACAAAAGGGGCCTTAGGTATCACCACGGTCATTATTCTTCGTGTGTGCGTTATTTGTAGACTAGAGCACATGTGTCGTCCTTGCGAAAGAAACGCCACAGGGAAGTCCAAGATATTCTATGTAAATCTCTGAGCAGAACAACTGTGTGAGGAATCTGGGTGAAGCGCATTATTTTGTGCAGGTCTGTTCGGACACCTTGAGCGCATAGTGTTGAGGGTTGCCGTCAGCAAAGGGAATGACCATCCACGGACAGGTTGATGGTGGGTCGGAGTAGAGACTATATTCCTTTTTTTAAATTTCTTTTTATTAGAGTTCAATTTGCCAACATATAGCATAACACCCAGTGCTCATCCCATCAAGTGCCCCCCTCAGTGCCCATCACCCAGTCACCCCCACCCAACTCCCCTTCAACTACCCCTTGTTCATTTCCCAGAGTTAGGAGAGAGACTATTTTCCAAACACCTGCTATCAAAACCAGACAAAACCATTTTGTTCCATTCGGAACTTTAGAGAAAAGTGGAAATGTCATGTGAAAACCAGACATCTGGTCTGTGCGGTCACTTGCCATGAGCATGCTGAGAACATGTGTTGTTTAGGCACCAAAGACTGGAGAAACCAGTTGGTCCCAGCTAAAATGGCGGAAGGAAAGATGTAATGCGGTTCTTGACAGAAGGAGGAAGATTTTAAGCTGGTGGTCATGCTCCTGAGCATCTGTTATCATCACTTGCATGTGGATGTACCGTTGAGTTAGTGATGGCTACGTAAGCCTAACGGTTGGCCCACACAGCTGAGTAGTGACTGCTCAGGCTTTGGTTTGCAGAACCTTAGTGTGCTCTGAAAACTAAAGATCACCGGTCTTCTCCTCTTACTGTGGAGTGCCTAGGCCAAGCTGCACAACTCCATTGAACCAGCTCCCAAGAGAGTATAGCCCAGATGTCGCCTAGCACACCCCAAGAATACTGGAGCATAGATGGGGTTTCCCACAAATATCCACAACCATTGTTAGATCCGTACATATTTTCAGAAGGGGATGCTGACTTGAGATCTGATGCAGCAGTTTTAGAACTTTATAAGGTATACATTTTACATCATCGCCCAGTAAGATATATGTATTTTGTTTTTTTAGTAGACTTTCTTTCTCTCTTTCTTTCTTTGAGAGAGAGCGCATGAGCACATGAGTACAGGGGAGGACCAGAGGAAGAGGGACAAGAAGATTCCCCACTGAGCCGAGAGCCAGACTTGGGGCTCGATCCCAGAACCCTGGGATCATAACCTGAGCTGAAGGCAGACTCCTAACCGACTGAGCCACCCAGGCACCCCAGATACACATAGATTATTAATAGAAACAAGGTTCCTGAAATGATCTCTCTCTCTCTTTTTTTTTTTAGCAGAGAAATCACTTCTGACACTTTCCATCTTATTGTGTTGTGTTTTATTTTTAAAAAGCTCTCTGGCTGTGACACTAAATTAATGTCATACCTCAACAATGAGGCACAGTCTGCGTGGTTGACAAAGCTCTTACCTCGCGGGTTAACCTTGCTGCATTCATAAGCAGGGGGACAGCCGTTCCGAGGTAGGATGGCGCCCCGCTGGATTGCAGACCTGGCCATTGAAGCTCAAAACCCAGCAGTGTGCTGTTTTGCCAGATTTGCTGTAACAGCTGAACACTCACCTATCGGTCTGCATCGACCAGCAATCTCTCAGAAACATATGGGAGGAGATTAATAATACAGTGCCCCCTGCAAAATCACAGGGTTCGGGAATCATACTCGGCTTCCAGATGATTCACTTCTCTCCCACATGTGCTATTTTGACAGGAATGATTGAATCTGTAGAGAGTATGAATATTCAGATGATTACAAGGCATCTTAAATGGGCTCCTCGGCACGTGACTTTGGGAGACGACCAAAAGCAATTTGATCGTAAAGGCATTGAAGCCTGTGCAGTTGATCTTGATGATATGCAGGTTTCTGCAATTTTGGGGCAGAATGAGAGATTTAAGATGCTCTAGCAACTCCACAGTTGAGGGTTGGGGTTATTGGGTTTGTACAAGAGGGTTCATGCTTCACGACAGATGGGTCCATTGGAAAGGCCTGTTGCCCGTGTTGGTGCAGTGCATGCATGGTCAGCGTTAGTGCAAACACGGCGTTTGTATACCATGATGCTATTCACAGAAAGCTTCCCCCCATACGTCACCTGAAGACAGAGAGATGGAAGGTGTCTGGGTAAAACCAGACTTGGCTACAGTTGTCCTCGTGTGTGATGTGTGATGTCTGATTCACCGTGTGTGATGGCCGAGCATCTTGAGAATCACCTCACTAGGTAACCAAAGAAACATAACAGAATTTGTTTTTTCTTTTTCTTTTTTTACATAGCAGTATTTGTAAAGAAAAAATATTATATATATATATGTATATATATATATATTTCAAGGATCTGAATATCCTTGAATATTCATATATATAAAAAATATTCTATATATACATATACAAGGATCTGAAGACACACTTATATGTGTTATCTCACTGGCCAGCACATCCTGAAAAATGTAGGCAGGCCTTTACCACCTTGGTGTGAGAAATGGATTCAGACTTAGGAGGAGCAGAAGGAAATTATCCAAAGCAATGATGGTGTTGGTGAAATTCATCCAAACACATTTGACTTGAGAACTTCACAATGGAAACCAGTGCCCACTTTTGATGTATTGACCTAAAAGACCATTTGGGGAGGTGCATACTTCCCATGCAATGAATACGTCAAAAGAAGTGAAGAAAGTGATTTAAAACTCTCATTTCTAAAATTTATTCTCTATCTCTGAGCCTTGTGTCTGAAACGATGTAGACTAAAGATGCTCACTTGAGGTGTGGAGCTGTGGATGGCAGGGGCGTGAGGCGGAGATGCTGTGTTGGTTTATGGTGCTCTCACATGAGGTCCCCTCGGCCAGATTTGCTACCAACGTGCCCCCGGATTAAAGCACACAGTTCTGTGTTGAGGAGAGTGATGGTTTGGAATACACAACCGTGCTCTCCATGGTGCCCCATCCTAATTTACTCTGAGGGATGAATTCCTCTTGGGGAGATGCTTCTAGTGGGAAGCTAGATGATCAGGCTCACCACACACCATATGTTGTAAGCTCTATAGTAATGCAGGAGGCAGGTCATCCTTAATGCAATCTAATTAGCAGGAAGTCCCTGTTGCTCTTACAGGCAGGAATGAACCGTAGATTTCTTAGACATTCGCAAGCCCCTTTTCGTGCAGTCGTCCGCTCATTCCCTTGGCCGTTGGTCTCTTCAGGGCCCTATAAATCAGTCGGGTTGAGTGCACAGTGCAAATGGTGGTGCAGCATGGGTTGTGTTCAGGTGTAAGCCACCCTTGCTGAGCCGTTGTCTGTGACCTGCCAGGCACTGGGGATACACACGTCACCCCGGGCACATTTCACGCACGTCCCGTCTTTCACGCTACAAAACTTCCACCTGAGATGGGAAGAAGAGATGTCCTCTCGTGGAGGAGCTTGATGCTGGGCGCTTTGGGGTGAATAGCGAAAGCGCTCCGGGCCATGGTGGACACCGGCTCAGCCCCTGCAACAGGGAATCTGAGAGATGTCAACCGAAGAGTCCGTCTCACGCCCTGAAAGTAGAAGGCATCCTGGTGGTTTTTAAAGGAGCTCTGATGCCCCCGCAGTCATCACCATGGTGATGGAGACGCACTTGCGTGTTCTGAAAAGGCTTCGGAGGCTGCACAGTGACAGGTGAATTCAGTGAGTTAATTTTATGCACAAAGTAGTTTTGTTTGGTTAAGTCAAGGCTACATTTAAGAAGGTTACTGGCAGTGGGTGGAAGGAGACCCGCGTTTCTCATCGTCCTCCACACAGTGAGGTGAACCTTGGTCACTCTGCAGCGGGAGGAGCCAGATACGTCGGCCCCTTTGCCCCCCAGATACATTGAAAGCAGCGCTCCGTTGCTAGGAAAGACACGTCTGCTGAAGGAAAGGGCCGTTTTTCTCTGCGAACATAGAGATGTTCAGGCTGAAGAGGATGTTTTTGAGAAGGATGATGGCTTTATACACACCCACGTGACTTGTACAGTTGATGAGCTCCAGGGCCCGGATTCATCAATTCAAATGACGTTGACCGCGAGCGTTGTGTGTCCAGGCCCCCGTGTTGAACACATACTGAACCAACTCAGGACGTATTGAATCTGGGTGGAACACGTTCAGTGTCGGCGTGTGCGTGTTTTAAGAGGCCGTTGTTAGAAGTGAAATACCAGCGATTTCCAGTTATGTTTAGCGTGGGGACCTCTGTTGTATCCTCGGCATGGGGTCTACTGGAGAACGAATCCAAAACTTGGAAAAGATAAGAGTTTCGTTTTCAATCTGTTGATTTCCCCGAGTGATAAGATCCCATTTTTGATCCTTTAAAAAACCCCAATTCCTGACCAGTCCCAAAAGGGAAGCGACCGTGCCGTCGGGATGATGGGAAGTATGTGTGACCGGGCAGGTCGCATTGCCTCACAGAAGGGTCGTGGGGGAAGAGCTTCCCCCGCCATCTCCTGGGGTCTGTAGTCCTACAGGAGGTAGAGGCTTCCTCCTGCAAACATTGTCGGCGTCCTCACAACGCCCTGAAACTGGGACGGCTGATAAATGTATCATCGGAAGACCTGACCTTTTGTCCCGTTCTCCTGCCATCGATATCTGGCACGGTCGAAATCCTGAAATGCATTTACAGGGTAA